TCGTTCGCTCATGTCAGGTTCCTCCTGAGATCGCCCTCATAACTCCATTTAGAGAATTGCTCGGCCAATTTAAAAAACTATTTCGTGATCAGCTTCTAGAATCAGGTATGACAGTGTTGATTTCGAACGGCCACATTGACTTGGGATCTTTTCCTGATTAGCAGGAAGGCTTTCGCTGTTTTGCCTTGCTCAGGAAGGAAACTATTCAGAACTGGCATCAGTTGCCGTAATCCAGATTATGAGAAAAATAGAAGATATGATGGGAAATAGTGCGATGAAGGCGAAAACACTGCGTGAATCGGTGTCTCCAAAGTGAAAAAAGGCTTGGAAAAATCGTTAGAAAGTGGGCTGGACGAGAATGAGACTAGCAAAATGAAGAAGAATGGGGCGTTTGGACGAGCTATACAATGTCTGTCAGTGCGTAGTGTGGGTCCTGGTACGAATAGCTGACTACGGTAAGCATAAATTCATTCAGTCATAAGCATAAGTTAACAAAAAATCTTAGTAACAGCAAACGTAGCTCACCTTTTTTAGCCTCTGGGAGTAGGAAATTAAATAAGGGATCGCAGCAGCAAAAAGAACAATCCTTACTATATATAAACGGCAAACGTCCGTTTGTCTGTTTTTCTGTTTGTCCTTCCGAAAGTCACGTAGGCACGATGTAGATGTGAATATCACGTGAGCGCGTTGAGGAAACAGTTATGAAATGAGAGTCAACCGACACTATTGTTGGTACTCTAATAAATCGTAGGTAAGCGATAGTGAGTATAAGGTGCACGCGTTAGCATGCGTGCGTGAGCAACTGGTAGGGAATAAAGGATAAACAGGAATACATCGCCTTATTATTCGGCGAACAGCTGATTGTGTGTGGGTCCTGACGCGAATATCTGCAATCTGCATCGCCACGACACTCGTTTGACGTGACATAGATGAGGAGCGGGAAGTGCGGGGTAACGGGGCTCCTACTATACCCTCACCGTTGAGTTTTTGGGCGCAAAGGAGTCCTTCCTATTACCCTTGGGGTCCACTGGGGATTCCTAGGTGAAAACTCAGTAACGATTTTTTATCGTGAACGCCTTTAATAGCGTCAAAAACGCATGCGTAATATTAAGTGTTCCTGAGATTCATCGCGTGAGCTCCCGTTCCATGAAATCTATGTTGAAGATATTTAGCCTTCATTGCTTCATAATTTACAAAACAAGTATCAGGGTTATGAAGCTTCCGATCACTTCTTGATTGGAAAAGGAATTAACATGGTTTGCTGTGGGCTTGTCAGGCCAATTCTCCCAAATTCTGTCAACATTTTTTTTATTATATTGTCTTCTCTTGCGTACCGACAACAATGCACAATTATTTGTCTTTTCTTTGATAACATAGTTCGTACCGAACAGATATCGCAAGTGCTTCTAAAACGCTATCATTTGCTCAAGGATTAGCCCCTCTCTGCCATAGTGCAAGAATCAGAGTTCGTCACAGTACTCGTCTGCAAGCGATAACTGTTCGAAAGCAAACGAATTAAGGTTTTCGAGAACATTGACGTTGCTTGAAAGAAGAAGGAAAGGCGAAGATCCATTCATCAATTTCCACAATCCAACTTTTATTGCAAATTCCTTGTTTTGAAAAATTAAATGGTTATAACAACAGAGTATTCCCTCTTGGTAGTAACTTGAATAGCTTTTTTGATTTCATTACTGAAAAGTGTTTTGGTTGTGTCATTCCATCAGGTGTTTTGGTTGTGAAGGACCGATTTTTGCTAGTTCTTTTATTGCTTTCAGATGTCAAGCTCATCGTTGCTGAACCCAACGGCACAGTACTTGGACGAATCACATGGTTTCGTTTGACAGATATGATAATGGTCGTTGTCGCAGTCATCAGAAAACCATGCAGATCTGAAGTAGTGAGTAGTTAAAGCATTTTGATTGCTTAACCTACCTCCCTTCATTGCGATGTAGGTAATCAAGAAATAGAGGAAAAGAGGATAAAATAAAAGTAACTTACGTTGCGATAACTGTGTCGGTTTTCCAACTTGGTCCAAATAATCTTTTTTATAAGCCTACGGGTAAGATAGTTTCTGGTTGTACGGTTAGGCACCATTCCATTATCTTTTAACTACTCTAACTTATTAGCCTCCAAACGCAACAATGAGTGGGCCCATTTTATCATTCCTTCTGCTGGTTGTCCAAAGTAGTCAATGTTTTTGTACTCAAGGATAAGTGGCATGAGCGTGCTCACCCCATTCGTTATGAGGTCTCCACACTAACAACTAACTGAGATTCCGCCATGCCTTTCCATCTTATCCTCACTCACCCCGATTCAGTTTCTATGATCTCAACAGCAACTTCTTTTTTCGTCTATCAAGAAACTCACTTGGATTCGGTGTACTGTTCCATGTAGACACATTTACCCATGCCGATCTTTGGATGACCCTTCGCCCATTTTGTGAACCTGTTGGCCTTGAATAGATTTATGAACTTATTCATATTCTATGTACATAGAACAAGGAATTCTCCATACGGAAACTTACTGAGTAACCGTTCTGCCATAGCCATTGGCCGCCTTTGTGTTGTAGTCCTAACCAGAACTTCGTTTTCGGTGGGAACACTGAATCGGCTGTATTTCAATCTTTTCAATACTCTTACTATTTTAGAAATACTCAAATTTTGAACAAGATTACGTTCCCACTTCAAACTTTTGGCGGGGATCAATTTTTAACAGGAAAAGTAGTGCATGCTGAAGCCAAATCGCTCGATTGGTGGTCTTACAAGTTTCATTTTCGGTTGTTCCCTATGTGCTCCACGTTCTGTCGAAATGAATTTAGTAACAAGTCCCCTGTCATGTGCAACAAAAAAGGCGTAGTCTGGAACAGCCCTGCACACGAGAGTTAGAGGCGCGCAGGTAGCTAAGGATGCATGCAGTTCTCGGGGACGTGTGCAAGATCTCGATCCCGAAGTTTCTTTGTACAGACTCTGAAAAATTCTCCTAACTTTTCAAGTTACCTGCATATCGTACTTGTCCTTTGCCTGAGGACCTTTGTAATTTCGTCCGCTTCCTACATACAAATCGAAATGGTGCGCTCAGATGGTTCGGATAAAATTGGGAGCGTAGTAGCTTTTGCCATACCACCTGTTTTCATTTGATGCTAGCTTACCGAAGCATTGTGCCATAAGATGGATAGCGCTGAAGTTAGAGTAGCTAGCTAGGCTTAGCTTTAAGATCTATGTGGAGTTAGTCCTCAGGCGTCAGCAGTGTACCATCCGCGTGATGTTTGGAAATATCTGATCCTCTCGAGCGCTTTTCACCTTTAGCCTTTACTATTATAACTTCTGTTGCGAACTAAGACGAAGAGAGGGATTTTTGCGATTTTTACGTGAGAAATTGGTTTAAAAATGAAGCGAGGTAAGAGTAGCAACAAAAAACGACTTTCAAGAAAGGGATAAGCTCTCTTGAAAGAAATGGTCATGCCCGAAAGGTGGCTTAGGAAGAGATCACAAAAATCTTACAGCTCATTAGAAACGCGTCTTTATTAGAGTCCTCGTCGATAGCCAGCACACCGTCATTTTTTCGGTAGCATGTCCTATTGGCTAACATCTGTAAGGATCACATTTTATTGAGAACGATAATCGGAAATTGAATGATGCCTATTCGAGGCCACTCTCACGCTGACAAGAGTCCCAAAACTGACTCTTCTGAAGAGTAAATGTTTAAATACTCGTTCAGCGTAGGGAAATTTCTTTAATTGTGACCGATAAGCATGTATTGATCCCATTAAGCGTATCAAACAGCAGCAACTTAAAGCAGCTAATATTTATACGCGTTCTTGTGGAACTTTGGTCTACGTAAGGCATAGGCATAATTATTATACGTTTATGTTGAAAGTAGTGGATTTGTTGGATGCATACCAGGGTTTCCATGAATGATTGGATCGCTGTGTTGGTCTTACGGTTTGAAGTATTGAGTATTCCTAGGCTAGTTATATACATAAGATATATATGTACGTACGATATGCCTGCACGTAAACAGCTAGTTTGACGCCTACAACTGAGCAGGACAACTAACCAACAGACAACACCTGGCGAGACAACGAATCACTCTCAATCACTTTTTACCCACGTGATCGGGCGTTGTTCTTTAACCACTAAGCGTGGCGAAGGGTTAGGTTCGGACTCAAATAGACTTATCATTTCATTCTTTTCGAAAGTTTCCAACAGGTTTAGAGTGGTATTCAGATTATACACTTCCAGTACTCGACACGCTGCTTCATAAGGTGTCGCACCAATGTTCTCAGAACATCTTTCTCTCTGAATTTTTGGTTGAGGGCGATTATCAATTTTGTAGGAATGCTTGCAGTTGGCCTATGAGTACTTTGTTTGGATGATCGCTGGGTTGGAACATTATCAATTTTGTAGGAATGCTTGCAGTTGGCCTATGAGTACTTTGTTTGGATGATCGCTGGGTTGGAACACTTGAGGTTCCGCAGTTGTACTCCTTCATCCAAGGGCCACGCTAGCTATGAATAGGTTTTAAAGAAATACTGGATTTTTTTCAGCCAAAGCATTCGGTGTGAGAAGCGCTATCACTCTAATACCTCACTCTTGAGCAGTTTCAGTAGGATGGGTCAATTTGTTGAAGTGCGTGGCATGTTTTCAGCGGGAGCCTCTACAGATAGAATCAGTCATAATAAGAAATTTGGACAATGGTAGATATGCATAGTATAAAACGAGTACTAGGCTGTGAGTACCTCTACACAAACCCGTGCCGTACTCGCCGCTCCCGATCGGGCGCCACGAAGGGGAAGATTTGAATAAACGGCGGAAGAGTGTGGTGAACTACTGTCACCCCGAATAAAAGATAATTTAGTGCTGAGGGTGGTGATCTGGTACGGTTGCGTTAACAGTAGAGAAGTATACTATAATATCTTTATGTCGTCTGCATGTTTGCGACGGTTGCTTAGGACTTGCTCTAGACCATCCACAAAGTACGGTAAATATTTTTAAACTTTCTTAAATATATACCTGCATTGAAGGAATCAAAAATGGATGGTAGCATCCACCTTGAGGTGCTTGCCATTTGTCGGTGTTATACGGTATCCATTTCTTTTTACAAAAGCAATTCGCTGAAATTTTTGAAGATGGAAAGTCAACCAGTAACGAAAGGAAAGTATGTAGAAACCATGAAATTTTGATGCAGCCTTTTTACCATCTCTAAATAAGTCAACAGTAGCGCATAAAAAGGACCGCAAATCTTGACTTCTTTGTTGTTTGACCTGTCGTTGGTAGGAAATGCGAACAGATCTGAGATAGCGTGATACTATTCGTTCCTGGTCAGCATTGAGCTTGATTTTCAGAAGCAGGGTTCGTTACAAGCTTTCATGAATTTCGCGGACGCTTTCTTTTATTTTCAATACTACAATTCACAAGAAAATGTTCTAATTAGGTCCCCCGATCATGTCGACAAGTGTTGCCCGATAGTTTTTTCAAGAAAGCTGCTCATTGTGCAGTCAAGGCTGCAGTGAAACCATTGGAGTACTGAGCCTTACCTTCGCAAAGTAGTTGACGTAGTTTCTGAGCGTGCAGTTGTTTACCATCCTTGTAATTAATCAGGCTATAGTTTGGTGATGCCAGTTTTCTGAGCATTGGCACAGATTTTTCGTGCTCTTGTGCATACTCTATAATACCTGTCGTTTTGGCTGCAAAGATTTTTAAGCAGGGGAAGAACTTGGAAAGAACGATTAGAAATTCAGAAACTAATATGCGAATGTGCTATGATGAAGTTGATAAGAAGCTTGAGCATTGCATAAGAGTGGGAGACATGGTGACTAATCATTTGGTCTTGAAATCTTCATCTTTCGCTCGAATGACCTAAGATAAGCAGCGTGCATGGCCACGTAGTATAGTTTTCGTTAGTGAGTTTTTGTAGAGGTAAAGTTTGGAAGGTTAGAACTAATTGCTGGAACCATGAGATATGACGATGAAGATTGTTTCGGTCACTTACCGATAGTAATGATGATCCCACCTTCTGCACGAAATTGCTCGGCAACTTTCAGTGGATTGTTGAGAACAGCTTCCCTTAACACATATTTACTGACGTTGATTCAACGAACTTCTTGATTGGAGTTACTTGTTCTCTTAGTGGATACGACAGTTTTTTGAGAAGACTAATTGACTGGAATAGTGGGGGCGTTGGGCAGGCATTGTTCAGGTTGTGTATGTCATGAAACAAGTTGAACTGAAAAGTCAACGGCCAAACGAAAGGCTTCAGGCAAGGAGCTTCGTTTGGCCATACCCTTAGTACTTCGTTTTTCCAACTAGTTCTTATTTCGAGACTCTAAACTAGCATCTCACTGGAAAAGACTCGACGATGAACAGGGGTCAAAAGCAATATCGCCATCTTCTTCGCTGCGGAAATAGAAAAGTAATATGCGCAAAAAGGATCTGTATTTTCTGCGCACCTGACATCAAACATGTAACCTTCAAGAAAACAGACCTGTAAGTGCTTCCGACGATGATGATTACCTTACGAGCTGCAGCACGGTGAGATGTGGATGCGAATCTCGCTCTTGCCATGCGGATCGCCCTGAAAGTGGTAGTAGTAGCTACTAATCGAATGTTGGTTGCCAAAGATTTTTCGGGTTTTTCCACACAACTTTTATTGTTACCACATTTAATATAGGAACCTATATCTATTATAGGATACGTTGTACGCGATATCGTGGAACTTAGTGTGCTCAGTACTTGCAAACAGTAAGTACCAAGTTAGTAGTTGGGCAGTATGCTCACTTATTTGTTACTCTGTCCTTGAATAATATTAACTAACGAGGGCATTGGTGAAGTGGGAAGGATCCATAATTTCAAGCCTCATTAACGATCGAAGATCGGAGAGTCTGCACATATGCCGGACAGTTGTTTGTGCTGATATTTGTGCTGACTCAAAAATCGAAACATTCATCGATTCTGCATCGCTAGGCATCTACTGTAGGAGTCTGCTGGGTGACGTTGGCACAGACCCCTGGAGACGTTACCTGACCGCTTTATGAAACAACGGTGATCAATATGACAATACACTTCAAAATTTGTAGCTTTGTTTGTGTTTGTTTGTTGGTCTCGTCCTTGAGGCGTGGCACTAAACCAACAAAAAGGTTCCTAAACAACTATTTGGGTGCCTTTTGCAGAGCCTCCTCTCCAGAGGATGGGCTTTACAAGCTGCCGTCTTTGTGCTTCTTGTGCGCTTTTTTGGTGCTGCTCTTGTAAGAGTTTTTCACTTACCCCTCAATATTCGTATCCGTTTCGTTCAGCGGCAATATGTCCAAATCAAGCAGATCTTCCGTTGAAGTGTAAACATCGAGGTCGGCGATTAGATCGACACTACTAGCGTAGCGAATGACTCCTAATCGGGTTTGGAACTGCTCTGCTTGGCCCACTGTCATTTTGGCAAAAGCTGACACGATGTAGTCAGTAGCCTGTAATTGAGCATGGAAAGTTGACTGAAATTGATCGTTCCACTACTGTTCACTATTAGCAAGACTGTCTTGCTAGGGAGTTGTATGAGACCCTTATACTGGTATGCTTTTTCGCCATCTTTTTCCTGTTTAGACACCTCTATGTGGTGAGGAGGCCTTTCAAAACGTTGTTCAAAGCGACACAAGAGTGAATGACGCATAATTGAAATGTAACCAGAGGTTCCATCTATTTGAACCTACCGAGGCGATTCCGTTAGAGCCCATAAACACGCCTGCTTCCATGAGAAGGAAAACGTCTAGCCATATAGTCTTCGGAACACATTCACATTCGCTGCTGGTCCGCACCACAGGGGCTGGTGTGTTAGTTGGAACTGTAATAGTATCGTTTCTTTCTCATACAATTTGTGGCATCGACATTTCTGCGATGTAGTGTTTTTGATACGACATAAAACAAAAGCATTACTTGTTTTGACTTAATGTTTTATTTTGTTGCAAAAACGTTACTGGTTCAGTTGAAGTAGGTGAATACAGGGTTACATATCTCCTACAAAAAATAGCTAGTACGCTCTTTGTCTTATTGAACAGAACCGATATAGTATAAATAAATACGATTCTGGTCCCTAACCTGCAGTTTTCGCAGATGTTTTGTGGTAAAAAGTGGTTTGAGGTCTTGTAAGCATAGTGAAAGTGTCTGAGGTCGGTGTAGAGGAGCGCGATGGAGTGTACCTGAGGGAGAAGAGGACGTTGAAGCTGAAGTTGGAGTAGTGCGGCGTGGAGTTGAAGTTGATGTCAAGAAGCGCGGCGTCGTCGAAGTTTGAGTTGAGGAGCTTGTTGGAGTTGAGGTTGATGTTGTGTGGTGCGGTGTAGTCGTCGTAACAGGAGTATCTGGAATTTTGTACAGATAAGGNGCTTCCACATCTTTGCCTACTAGTAGAGCCTGTGAGATAGGATCTTCTCGCACAAACACATCCAAAGTCTAAACAGTTGTTCCGGCCATTTTCCTAAAGACAAGGTCACTTTAGGTGATTTAACAGTCAACTGAATTTTTGAACTACGTGAGAAATGTTATAATTCAGATCGTTCTCCATATAAGCGCTACCTTAAATGACCTTCGGCGTCCCAGAAACGATGCGTTCCTCGGTCACGTTACAATTTTTAGTGCCTGCCTACTGTAATCTGAGTTGCTAGCGATTGCACGCATCTTCTCTCACAATGATTTGATCTTCTTTTCTGTGAATAGAGTGCTTGGCTGCCGAGTTCGGAATTCGGAAGACTCGGGCGGCTCGAGAAAAGCCCTGTTGTCTTACAAGGTCCCCTCATTAACCCTTAAAGTCCATTTTGCAAGTTCGGGTGGCAACCTTCACAAGACATCAATTGTGAAGTGACCTTATATTATACAATCCTCCCATCATGCCGGTATCGGTATAACCAAATAAGGTCATTTGTTTGTATAATGCAGCAATGATGGAACCTTTAGCCTCAACCTTATTTGCTCTTCATTTTAACATCACTGGAAGTTTGAACCTGGCATTTTCTCGGAAGATTGCAGACGACAATGCCTGCTGACTTCATTCTGGGGTGTGTTTCAAACACATCCTAACGGTGATAAAGCCATCGAACCCAAATTTCTCAGTCTCATTTCGAATTGTTCGGGACCACTCTGACTTCTGGGTAATTTATAACTATGAACCAAAGGGCTTGGAATTTAAAACCTAACAATTGTGTGCAAAGATTTCACAGCCCTGTCTGGGGACCGGAAGTTAATCAATGTGGGGAATATGCCAGTAATGCTTGAAGGCACGGTTCACGATGAAGAATGGTTACTGAGTTCTTTCCTTAAAAATACTCAGTAGCCCCATGTGATGGAAGGGACCTTTTCGCTCCCAAAAACTCGACGGTCAGGGCATAGTGGAAGCCCTGTTGCTGGCCTGAGTGGCTTTCCCGCCTCTTGATTGATGTCACGTCAGACGAGTGCCGAGGCAATACAGATTGCTATTATCCGTTCTAGGACCCACACACAACAGCTGATCGCCGAGTGATGAGGCGGTGTTTTTCTCCCATTTTTTTCCTCTGTTATTCTTTTTGCTGCCGCCATTCTTTTTTTAATTTCCTACCCCTAGAGGCTGTATGAAGGTTAGTTATTTTGCTGTAATTAGGGTTTTTTGTTTACTTAACGCACTGTGCGTAGGTCTCGTCCAGCCCCCTTTTTAACGATTTTTCGAAACCTTTTTTCACTTCGGAACCACCTATCCACACAGTTCCTTCGTCTCCACTGCACTATTTTCCACCTTATCTCAGGATTATCGGGAACTGTGCCTTCAAAATTTCCTTGATGCTCGTTTTTCCGAAATTCTAACGCGACTGTAGCTTATAAATATGGAATGCACTGTTGTAACGATGAAAATGGTTAACTTCGCTGTTTTCTGCGGCACATCGCTTAGTTGTTTGCCCTCCTAATAATTTGCCAGATAGTGTATACATATTAGTTACTGTTCAAACATATGTTTTTTCTGCTCTAATCTTATTTTTCGCATTTCATATTCTACTACTATAGCCTTTCTGGTTTCACTAGGGAAAAGCAGTGTCTTTTGATCTCGCTCACCACAAATGAAGCGGCTAACATAATCAGCAATATCGTCGACGTCACCCAGCGAGTTCACTTTCATGTTCCTTTTCTGAAAGGAAATTCATGACTGAGATCATCTTACTTGACTTTAATAGCTTACCTCATTGTCATACCAGTTGTCAAATGACGAGTTACCCATGTTGATGACTGCTGTAGAGAATTTTTTCACTATCCCTTTATCCATGTTGAATTTCAGTAGTCTCCCGGCAATATCCACGTCTTTCTGATCACTGTGCACTTAGTGTTTAACATAGGTTTCTACTATGCCGGTAAAAGATAAGTGTAGGCAGTAGGCAAGTAGTTTTCGACTTTCTAAATGTTTTCCTCTATGTTATAAAAAACGTTGTGGGCTGGAAGATTTAAGACGTCGAAGAAAGACTCTTTAAGAGGTCCGGGTAAATTGTGAGTTTGTATCAAACTCTGCAAACTCTGTAGAGATTTGTAAAGATGCATAGTGTGTCCTAATGTAACTTATAGCTTGAATTTTGCACGCAGCCAATGCCTCGCCGAATGCGTATAATTGGGTCTTAGTAACCGATCCGTCAACTTTAGTCACCGGTGTCTGGGCTATTTTGGAAATAGTCGAGAAGTTAACCTAGGCCGAGCGCTATTTACCTCATATATGCCCAACTCATCCTGCCCCAAATCCAACTATAACCATTTTGAAATGGCCTCTACAGACTCCTTCATAAGGTAATGGTTTTGGTGAAGTTTTCATCAACACGTGCTTGCTTTCATTTACCTTGGAGGTATTTGGAAAAGCTAAAGTGGGATAGCCTTACGAATTTTCAAAAGAAAGCAGAGTCAATAGAGTATCAGATTCATTTTCTGTTATCATAAGTCAACGATAAGCTCAAGCTTACCAGTCTTTCGCGAGCAGTATCAGTAGTGCGTCTTCAACGTCGATTGTTGTAAGGATGCGGTAGAAGAAATTTCGGATTTTTCTGAAAAACTTTCTGGCTCATAGAAATTCGCTATCCCATTGGAACTGCTTTCACCTAAAGTTATAAAATCATGCTTAGCCTTTCATAATCCGCCGGCGTGCCGGCGTGCCAGTCGAGGTAGTGCTAGGGGGGAGGAGGGAGGCAGGCGGTCGGTCTACGCGGTCGCGTCCCTCCCAAGCCCCTTCGAAGGGCTGGAAACAAAGGAGAACAAGACCAAAAACCATTTGCACAAGCCCCTTGTTGTTTGGTTTTTGATCTTGTTTTTCTTTGTGTTCAGCCTTTCGAGGGGGCTTGGGCGCAACGCGACCGCGTCGACCGACCGTCTGCCTCCCTCCTCCCCCTAGCACTACCTCGGCTGGCACGCCGGCACGCCGGTGGACTATGTAAGCAGCCCCTGCTGGTAGTTCGTTGCTGCGTGTTCATTTTCATAAGCAAGTGTTAACGCAACAAAAGTAGAGGCTTTGTCGATTTCGGAAGGAAAAAGTGAAGCGTCAGTGATAAACGCAATTGACAATTTGTGTCATCTTCTTGACTTCGCTGCCTTAGGCTTATCATGGAATTCAACAACAGTTCAACGTCCTATTTTTCTTCTTATGGCTTGGAAGTAGTTCAACAATGATTCTAGACTATAGGGATGTTTCTCGATTGCTTCGATCGTCTACCGTATCCATATTTGACAACTTCTTTTTTCTTTTATTTTCCCACTTCATTTCCCCCACTCCTATTCCCAACAACAACTATCAGAAATTAGTAACGTTCCTATTACTTCCAATAACATCCAATTTCCCTTACATATTTGACCGGTGAACAATTATAGCTGGCAGAGATTTGCATACAAATCATTCACCACTTTGAAGATACACATTGAAGAACCCTTTCGCTTCGTGTCCATTTTCATGAGGCTAATACCTTTGAATGCATGCACAAGCAAAAAATTATTGAAATAATAGAGCTTGAGGGAAGGTGCCTCACTGTAAGTATCGGGAAGAGGTGCCAAATGAAAGTTGCTGACGAGTACGAGACATCTTGTGAAGGTTCTAGTTGTTCATAATTCCAGTGGGCAGGAGAATGGAGAGGGAAGGAAGGAGTAGAGGGTTCAAGCGAAAATGCAAATCTTATTTGATTCGCACAGTATGGCTCAAATTCCGTAACCAGAGATGGAATCGACGTGAAACGCGGTATTCCTATAGAGGTCTCGGTCAGCAGTTGTTCTGAAGGTCAAAATGCATATCGCCTCGTAATTCTTTGAGCTGGGTGTGCTTGTAACATTCTTAACGGCATAGTTCACGATAAAAATGGTTGAGATTCCCCCACAGGATGAATCTGAGGCCCCCACGTATACCATATCTGGCTTTAATAGGTCGAAAAACGGGCCAGTTAAGAAGTTATAAAGGTCAAAGATTGGCCCGTGTGTACCCTTGGACGAGTTTCACCGGCATTGTAGGGCTGCACTGATCACAAGGGATCCATGCAGGAAGTTCAAACAACTTGGTATGACCCATACCTACAGTGAAAGGCAGTTCTGAACAGTTCTGGATTGATGTAGTCAGCTCTTCGTGCAACTGCAATAACTGAAATCTCGTCCGAATACCCCTTCCATGTTATTTCCATGGCAATCTCGTCCAACCTCTATTTTCCCTACTTTTGAGGAGCCATATTTTCCTCAATATCGGCATACTCTCTCGCTTTCTTCACTGCCGATGAACTATTCCCAATGTGTACTTCCGCNGTTTGCCTTTAACCCATTGACGACCATGCAGTCCGCATGTGGACTGCAGTTGTACTTTTTGTTCTATTAAACTATATTTAAACTTTTTTGCAGTTTTTCTTTTCGAAACATTACATCAGGTCTAAGTGAAACTACAGAAAGCGTGATCCTGGAAAATCTTCTAATTTTGCAATTGTAAAGGTGTTTTTTCGAAGGAATACATTACCTTGGTGAATTTTACGTTCGTTGAACAATTTTAAAAAATGAGATTTTTCGAAAACACGGTCGTCATTAGCATTTTGTCTGACATCGACCAAATGCAGAGCTTGTAAAAGTTCCCCCAAAACGATTACTGGTAATGATTGAACTGATAATTGGATGACCACTAGACTGAGTGCCGGTTCTATAATAAAGATCATCAATCACTCAGTGTGGGCATTCTTTTCAAACCCATTCGAAGGAACATTCCGAAACCTCATAAATATCTCTTATAAACTTCAAAAAAATGGTCATGCTGGACCATGAGAGTGGACGAAAAGCGCGCCGGTCCCTCGCGGCGGTTTTCCCGCAAAACGCCATGGTCGTCAATGGGTTAAAGGCACCGTTCACAAAAAGTTAGGGTACCCTTTTTGACGGGAATTGATAGAACTACTTTAAAATGAAGCGATAACAACGAAAAAAGCGCAAAAAGCGATGAACAAAAAGAATTACAAAGGGTCAAAAAAAGAGCTGGAAAGGGGGGTTGGACGAGTTTCACATTGAAAGAGCGGCGGTTAGGGAGTGTTCGGGCGAGTGCACGAAGGCGACGCAATGTGTTGTCTGCAATAGCAGACGACACATTGCGTCTCTGGCAATTTGCCAACCAGCTTACCGACTTTTCACCAACTTCGCTCCAGTGCGAATGTGGTGAAGGACAATTAGAACTCGTAGTCAGCCTAGCAAGGGGCGGAGGCCTCCCGTCCCCCACTGTTCCTGCCCTTATTGTGCCCTATCCAGCCCTTTTCCGACCTCATTCCTGCACAAATGGTATCAAAAGTGGCTTCGAATTCAAACCATGTGCAAATCTCCGAAACCACTTTTTCGTGAACAGTGCCTTTAAAGGCACGAAAGAATGGTTTCTGATATTTCCCCATAAGGCCCCCTGATATCATATGTACCGATGTCAGTTCGAGATACGTCCTGTATAGGGCACAAAAAGGCGCCAGACATTGTATCGTGTGAATGCCACACCCACAGCGGACGAGTCTCAACGGCGTTGTGGAGGCTGCACTAGGACTCCCATGTTGGAAGTTCAAACAACTTGCCATGACCCAGAGCGGCAGTGGACAGCAGTTTTAAACAATTTGGCTTGATGTAGCCAGCTCTTCGCACAGTTGTAACAACTGAAATCTACTCCGAATACCTCCTACATGTTACTTCTATGGAGGTAATCTCGCACCTCTATTTCCCCATTTTTGAAAAGCCTTACTTTTCGCGAGGTAGGCGCATTCACTCGCTTTCTTCGTCACTGATGCACTACTCTACATCCTCTTCTCTTCTCCTTTTTCAACTTGAAATGTGTTTCTCAAAAGTATCGTGAACTGTGCTTTCAACTCAAAGAATCTTCAAAGATATCGTCTTACCTCGATGGCGCCATTTCAGTTGCTTCCTTACCTCGGCTCCGTAAGGTTAAGAAGTTTGTACAAACTTGGCCTCTGTTGTTGTTGAAATCATAGGTCATAGATGCATTAGTACCTTCAATAACAGCGGGAATAGATCGTGCTGTGGTCTCACTGGTTCACAAATATATGGGAAACACGCCTTTGTTTTTTTTTTTTTCAAATGACTAGGAATACTATCAATATTGAGCCTACCGTATGTGGCCAAGGCTACGCTGACAAAGTTTTCCCGTATATTGAGACGTCGTAGAATAGATTTTGCGATCGAGAACTCCTTCAATAAGTTGGATACAGATGAAGATTTATTGGTTTAGCAATTTTGCTCAATATTTTTTTTTACTTGCTGAAAGGGGCGAAAAGTGAATTTAGACACTGTGAGGGATCCCACTTCCGAATTCATGAATTTCCCATATCTGTTGCAATTGCTCCAACCCATCGACTAGATTTTTGTATTGAACGAGTCTTTCCGGTCGTATTTTCATACTGTACTGATAATTTGTATGTCTTCACCCCCTTTGAATCCACGGTGGCGCATTGCTTGCTTTTTGCCTCCTATCAAACTCTCTTAGCTCACATTGACATGGCGAAAACACGGCTCGATATCTTCTGATAATTCTTCCTCTGAGTTCGTCCCTATGACGTCGAATCAAGCTCATAAAAGTCTGCAGGCCGATAATCTGGACGTTAGTAACGCTCTCTTACTTGAGTAGCTCGATTTCATGGCATACTCTGAGGCGTGATGGGACATTTTGTCAGTATACCTGCACGCGGCATATTTTGTTAATTTAAGACCTTTTATTTCTGTATCATAACGTGTGACTCGACTAGCTTTTATTCTGATCATTCCTCGATTTTAACGATGCATAGATCAATCCCAGAATGAGGACTTTGTTACTTTTCCATTTTCGACCTATCGATCTTCTTCGGCCAATCTCACGAGGCTACGCGGCTTTGTACCTCTCGGTATATTTCCACGGAATGTTCGTAATGTTTTAGTAAAATGACCACGTTTTGAGAATACCGGACTGTTGAGCGTATTGAATGAACTTTCCTTTCTTTCCAGTAACTGGGCAGATATGCAGCCGAATTGAAGGATCCAAAAGACTTGCTGAGCATGTTTTGCATGATCACCTACGTATCCTTGATAGCTCTGTGTTACCCCTCCAGATGACTTTACAGTTTCGTGGAAATACGGTCGATGAGGACGTCTAGGAAAAAAACCATATTGGAACCCATTTTTTTAAAGGTTGTGTAGGTCATTGTTTTTTTTTTTCTCAGCTTCGTCCACTAAGATGTGGGTTTCCCAAACTCTACAGCTAACGTGGAAAATAGAATGCAGACTGAAGTACAAAAAGAACGTACCACTTCTCTTTTGCGCAGTCCATCAGATACGTCATCAACAGCTATAATAACCCGGCGTTTACAAGAGTACTTGGGATTATTTTCTACGAAGCAAGATTGAATCTTAGCATGACCAGTGCGAATGAACTCTAAAAGTAGAAATGAATCATTTTATTGAACGGGTCATCATTAGTGGTTTGTGTGAACTTATGACATTCCTGCGGCGAGTACTGTATTTCACTACACAATAATAAACAGTACGTGCAGCACCTTTGCCCTGAGACGGTCAAGTGCCTCGTGGAAGTTTTCATTAGAGAACATTGGCAATCCGTTTTTGGGAGCTTCCCTTCAAGTGATTCTTGCTCGGGCAAGTCTTTCAGACGACGATTCACAGGGCCGCGTATATAGCTAATAATGAAGATTAGGCGGATGATTGGTGCATAGATAAAAGTATGTAGGAGCCACTTCTGCTCTCTCCCATTTGTGATGCTTTTGAGTTCATTACAATGTACATTAGAATAGAAACTAGCTCGGAAGGCCAAAACTGCTAAAAGTAACTAAGCGCCAGTGACTTAACATTTTGACGACAATGGCACCCACGGGTGGGTGCCACTATGACCAGCGCATGGGACATTGGTACTCAATTTCGGGTGCCATCATACCTTCTTGTTTCATACCAATTGCTAAATTCAGTAAGCCAGTGAAAGGATTTTCTCCTGGGACAGTGTCACCCACCGATGGGGGCCAGTCGCGCGCGAAAAGAGGGAGCGTGGTCCCATGGGCGCGTCACGTCGAAATCTGCATTGTCGTCAAAGGGTTAAGTGACATAGACCGGGTTCTAGGAGATGTGAGAAAGTTCCGTTTCTTGCTACTGCTTGGAAGGAATTTCTAAATCTGAGATACCGTTATATGAGATTGCTGTTTTGAATACAATGGGAAGTCACGGCTGAATGCCTAGTTAGTTAAATTCTGCCTGGTATAGGTTGAATGCACCGCGTTAGCGGCAGAAATGATATATTTCATAATCGTATTTTACGCTTTATATTCTTAGATTTTTTAAACTCTTGTATGCTTTTACATTGAGAATTAAATGTTCACCTCACACTGAATGCTTGCGCAGAAAATTTCTAGATCACCATATAGATTAACTATGGCTACCATATTCAAAGACGGCATTGAAACAATGGAATTATATAGGAAACTTGAATGAGTAGTCACTTTCTGGAGTCAGCGACCCTCTAGTGTGCCAGTTAAGAAAAAGCCTGGTTGAGACCACTTTCATAACGATCAAAAATGATCGTTGACGACTTTGTAAAAGCTACACTATCACATCACAATTGCGCATATTTGTTGAGAATCTAACCAAATGTTGGTCCGAGGCGCCTTCTGTGTTAGGTGTTTAGCGTGGGGTCTTAGAAATGTGAATTAATAAGTAGCTGGGAATAACAATACGAAGGCCGCAGCACAAAATCATGATTACAAGCAGTCCTGACTGACGATAGAAAGCAATTTCTGAGCAGCTGGGATAGTCTTAACGAGATAGATAGTCTTTACGCATTCCCTTTTCTGTAGCAACTGAAATCTCGTCCATAATCCGTTATTGAATTCCGTACAACTCTGGAAAGTAACTATTTCTGAGAATTTTATATTTCGCGGATATGTGGATTTTCTCGCTTTCTTAGTCACCGATGGGCTATTCTGTACCAGCAGCTGCGTTCTTTAGCTTGAAAACTGAATTAACATCGCTAGCTGCTTTACCTATAACACCACAGTGCGTCTCCAAATGATACAGCCCCTCTAGTTTCCCCAAAAACTAACAGTATACGATGTTTCTGAAAAAGTGACAAATTAAAAAATGTGTCAAATCTGAATTCAATTCGCACATTATCACCAAATTCCAGCTCGGAAACACAAACATTTTTTTTTGGTAAGTTTTTCAGTACAGGGTGCTTCTCCAACGTCTCCAAATGATATAGCCAATTCATGTCTTCGGGTCGTGTTTTAGTTTAACGCAACGTTATGCTTCGTTTATGTAATGTTCTCCATTTTCAGGCAATAGGAAGAGAAAAGTTGCTTTTGGAATTCAAGAATGGTAAAACCCTCGCGAAAAAGGAGTAGGGACTGTCGAATCACAGATCGCGCGAAATTTGGGTCGATGTCATTCAGCTGTGGATAATTTCATCAAGAATCTTGAAGCCCGTAGAACCAGAAGAAGTGCTGGACGTCGTTCGCTGCTCTCCGATAGAGACAAGCGCCGTATTTTGAGGAAAGCGTGGAACTCCACCAAGTCTTGTATTAAAATCCGATCGTCTCTGAACCTCAATGTCTCGAAAAACACTGTTTGGAAGGTGGTCAAAAGGTCCAAGTTCATCGTCAAGCGAAAAATGCGGAAGGCGCCCTTCATGACAAAAAGACATGGAGAAAATGGGGTTTCGCCAGAAGGTGCAGCCTAACCGAGTGGAATAAGGTGCTCTCCAGGTGCTGACATTCGACCTTCCTTCTGTTGATGGCTTTTGTTCTCAGGTCGTCTTTCCCGATGAAACGAAGTTCAATGTGATGGTCCAGACTGGGACAGATTTTACTGGCAGACTTGGGGAAGAAAAAACTTCGGTTTTCTAGACGGAACTTCACGGGGGAGGAGTTATGGTTTGGGCCGCGATTTCATCGAGGAGGCGTATCGTTTGTTTTGTACCGAAAAACATGAACTCATCCTTTTATAGACTGTTATGCGCCGTGCACTTCTCCCTTTCTGGCTTCAGAATCGGCACCAAGATCTTGTTTTTATGCAAGATAACGCCCCAATTCACGTCAGCAGGAGCACCCAAGCTTGTTTCTCTCGGCACCGGGTTGCACTTCAGCCCTGGCTGGCGAACAGCCCCGATTTGAAACCGATGGAAACTGTATGAGGCTTCATGGTGTGGAAGATTTACGCCCAAAACAAGCAATTCCGAGGCGTCAAGAAGTTGGAAAAAGCGATCATTGAAGAATGGCAATTTTCGTTCGAGCCTAGACCACCGTATTTTCAAAATAATTCCAAAGAATAATGGGACAGCTGATTATTGACTTTGCGACTTTCTCTCCTTGTTGTATGTTAGTTGGTAATTAAATTAGTTTTGTTAGTAGCTGTATCATTTGGAGATTTTGGAAAAAACGCCCTTTACTAAAAAATTGATCAAAAAATGTTCGTGTTTCCGAGCTGGATTGGTGATAATGTGCGAACTGCAATTCAGATTTGACACATTTTTACTTTGACACTTTTTCTGAAACATCGTGTACAGTGAGTTTTTGGGAAAATGAGAGGTGGCTTTATCATTTGGAGACGCACTGTAGATCACCATACAAAGCAATTTTGAAGAACGCTAAACTCACCAAACAAACAGAGCGCGTATAAGATGAGTCGCAGCATTCTCCTTTTCGTCCTGGGCAACATCTGCCGTTCTTTCCTATTGATAATATCAGTTACTTAATACTTTGCAAAGTTTTTACTGGAAATATCAGGAAGACTACTGATAAGGAAGGATTATGGTTTTTGTGTACGACCACTTTTGTAATTAATTACTCATTGTATTCGGAACTGCATTAAAGAAGAGTTTTTATGATGTCTATGGGCTCAAAGTCGCTGCTGTATTATGACTTGGTCCCACTAGTCCTAACAGTACCATTACCATGTGCAGTAATCAGCTAAGAATCCTGGTGTCGATAAAGCTCCGTTCAGGTTGGCCATATCATGTGCAGTAATCAGCTTGGAATCCTGGTGTCGATAAAGCTCCGTTCAGGTTGGCCAAGCTCGGCTCGAGTACTTCTTCTTACATAGCTTTTCCCTCATCATCTTTTCGAATCACTACCTGTCTAAAGTCACAGTTCACGATAATTTTGGGTAGTCCAGATAATGACGAAAAATGGAAGATAAGATGAAAAATAGTGCGATGAAGGTGGAGAAACTGCGTGAATCGGTGTTTCCAAAGTGAAAAATCGTTAAAAAGGGGTTCGACGAGAATGAGACCAGAAAAATGAAGAAGGGTGAGGCGTTTCAACGAGCTATGCAATGTGTCTCACTGCGTACGTGTGGGTCCCAGTACGAATAATAGATACGGTAAGCAAAAATTAGTTCACTTATATACATAAAAAAACAAAAAAATTCTAGTAACAGCAAAAATAGTTCACCTTTTCAGTCTCTTGGGGTTGGAAATCAAATAAGGAATCGCGGCAGCAAAAAGGATAGCAGAGGAAAGAAGAATGGGAGAAAAACATCGCCTCATCACTCGGCGACCAGCTGCTTGTGTGTGGGTCCTAGAACGAATACATACATTGCAGTGTGTATTGTCTCGACACTCGTCTGACGTGATGATGTGTCATCGATCGAAAGGCGGGAAAGCCATTGACGTTCTCTTCCGTTGAATTATCGTGAATGTGCCTTCAAATAGGTTAACTAGGTGTGATTGAAAATAAGTATAGTTTTAGTGTTGATTTAAAGACACAGTTCACGATAAAAATAGTTTCCAAGTTCTTCTCTAAGAATATTCAGTGGCCCGCAAGGGTAATAGTAAGGACACTCTCGCGCCCAAAAACTCGACGGTTAGGGCATAGTGGGAGCCCTGTTACCGGATCGCAGGGACTTGGCGCCCCTCGATCGATGTCACGTCAGACGAGTGTCGAGGCGATACAGATTGTAACAATCGTTCTAGGACCCACACTTAATCAGTTGATCGCCAGTAATGTGGAGATTTTTTTCTTCTATTCTTATATTCCCTTTAATTTTTTATTCCAAGAGGCTGGAAAAGATTTGCCATTTTTACTGTACTGGGATTTTTTTTTTGTTAATTTGCGCTTATGGTTGAATGAATTTTTGCTTACCGTAGTCGGCTATACGCACCAGGGCCCACACGTGCGTAATAAGACACATTGTATAGTTCGTCCGAACGTCCCATTCTTCTTCATTTTCCTGGTCTTGTACTCGTTCAGGCTCCTTTTCATCGATTTTTGATGCTTTTTTTATAGACAAAGAAACAGCGATTCACGCAGTTTCTTTGCCTTCATCGCGCTATTTTCCACCTTGTCTTCCATTTTTCGTCCTAATCTGCATTGCCCGAACATATCGTGAACTGTGCTTTTAATAGACTTAAATGAGCAACAGGCCTTTCTCCCTCAGTATTAGGGGAATTCGAAAGAATGGAGGGGATTTTGAGAAAAGTACCATTTATATAAATGTTAGAAAGCTGAAACATTCTTGATATCTCCAAGTAAACTTTTTAAACTTCGATGCATTTTTCTAACTTTTTAGGGGCTTTTTAGTTCCAGCGGAAGGTTTTTTTTTATTGAATCTGGAAGTAAATGTATAGATTGTATAAAATAGAAAGTATATGGAAGCTATTTGGGGCCAAATTCGTTCATGAACGTTCTAGCACCTCGATCCTTCCTTTATTGTGTTGCTCCTCCATTTGGCACTTTTGAATCAGTTCTCATATTTTTCTTTTCAGCTTCACTCGTAGGCCTAGCTTACATCAGCTGAGCATATTATAGTTTATGCTATATACATGATGCTGTGTTCGAAGTACTCAAACGTCTTTTCGATGATGAACAGCGTTCCACTTGATACGCTTTTTGTCACTCGATAGGCTCTTCCTTCATGTCTATGCATAGCCATACAGTATGGCACCGGCGAAATGCTTATGGTTCATCGACAATCTTATTTTCTCTTTTCCAGACCTTTTCCCAGCTTGATATGCAATTGTCATATAGTATCGGTGTCGTCAACTGTATTCCATGATCATATCCTACATCTAAACGCTGATCACGCATGTTTCATAGTCTTCATCATCTTTTACATGATGAAATCAATGGACGAATTCTCTTTTTTCTTTCAAGTAAATATCGCCGTTACTTTTAAAACTGTTATCAAGTATGTTTTTGAGTTCCAATTCCAGAAGAGCTTTATGACACATTGTGGACCTTGTACTGGGACAGAGAGTGCGGATCCTGCTTCGCTTTTCTCTAAAAACTACTTGCGCTTCCTTGCACAATTTTCCTATTCTCTTTCTTACTACAACTTGGACCTATTTACCCGCTTATTTATACTTATTACTGATCGCTTGTATTCGAGGTGCTAACCGGAAATATGATGTTGAAGGTGCGTTCGCCCTACCAACTGCTGGCCATCTCTCACCATCAAAGATAAATGCCAAATTTTTCTTGATGATAAGGGATGGCATTTGCACAGTAACTGGAACACTATCTGTCTTAGAAAAAAAATTAGAAATCAATGTAATCCTTGGACAAATGATAACGAATCGGAAACACTTGCGATATTATTGCAAAGGCATCAACTTGTTAGAAACTAAAGTTGCCTGTATGCAAGAGAAGACAAAGGCAATGAAAAAGTGAGGCCATCATTCCGATTACCCTATTACACTGTGCCGAGATGATGAAGGGAATGGGCTTGTTCTCTTAATACTGGAAGAGAGCGATGTGAGGGCTTTCCTTTGTAAATCCTACTTAAAGAAGTGTGATTATAAGTACTTCTTCCGGCTGACATGTAATCGATTGAAGAGTTGATTTTGACAGAATGCATCTGATATACTGAAAGAATGAAGAAAGTAAGGTAACCATGAACAACATGCTTCGATTTTGGGTTCTCCCGTAGCTTACAGAACTCATAATTTCATTTCCATTGGGAAAAAGTCCCACTTTTGCGTCATCTCATTAGATTTTAACTTGTAAAGGAATCAGTTATCTTTGAATCCATTCATTTCTTATTTCACATATGCTTTCTTTCAGATGTCAAGGTCCTCGTTGGGGAATCCAACGGGACAGTATTTGGTTGAATCACATGGTTTCGTCTGGCAAATGTTATAATGGTCGTTGTTGCAGTCATCAGAGTACCATGCAGATCTGAAATAGTAAGTAGTTGAAGCGTTTTTGAATAGAAAGGCTCTCGAATTTACGGGAGAGCATATTTACCAAGTTCTTACCCCCGTCACACGCTCGTAGGACTGTGTTCTCACCCCCTCATCACCATTTTTCCCCCTTTCTTGTTAAAATAATCCCACATTCTCTATTTAAAGGTACAGTGGCCCATCATAAACATTGACATCTATATTGTTCCTTCTTTGTTGTTTCATCCCCTTTATCCCTATCCTCGACCTAGTAGGTCTTACGAACTATCTATTAAGTTTTTTATTTGTTGTTCTCACTCTCCCATGATCTTTTAGTTTTGCGGTGCAGTTCAGACGTACGTATTGTGAAACATTGGCATAGTTTTGAATGTTTCCAAAGATCAGTGATTCATATAGGAGCTAAGAAATTCCAGAAATCAACTCACTTGGATTCGGCGTGCTGCTGCATGTAGACACATTTACCCTTCTTCGTGTTTGGATGGCCTTCCGCCCATTTCGTGAAGCTGCCGATCTCAAAAGTGACCAAATTCTGTGAGTTAATGTTAGCAAAATTACAGATTGGTGTAGAGACAATTAGTACACTGGCCATACTCTACATGGTTGATGAAGCTTGGCGGTTCTAAAGGCACAGAGACGACGAAAAACATTCCTGAGACTTTCCCTCGGGATGAACCTTGACCCCAAGGATAGCACAAATGACGCTGTCAGATCGAAAAACGACGTATATATGGCGTAATAAGGGTCCCAAGACCAGCTTACCCGATTTGCGCATCAGAAGGCGGACGAGTTCTAACGGCTATAGATGTACACATTGCACGTAGGCAGCTTACTGTAACCAGTCGCACGCAATGGCACACACATTTGGACAGCTCGTCCGGATACCCCTTCCATGCAACTTTTGTCATCACATTTTTGTCCAACCTTCAATTTTGCTACCACGTTTTCGAGACAATACTTCTCTGAATACGTCGATTTTTGCATTTTCTTCACCACGTTTGGTTTGTTCTGGACCGTCACTTCCATTGTGCGTCTAAAATTAGGCTCCCCACAGTTATCGTGAACTGTACATTTGAGCGCTAAGCTCCGCCTCATAGATTTAGTGCACTAAAACTAGGTGAGCTTAGCCACCGACTGATGTAAAATGTACCCAGTGTGTTATTGTTTTTCTCGTTTTGAAATAGATATACATAATAAATGCAAAATAGGAACATTCCATCTAGGAACTCACTGAGTAACCGTTATGCCATAACCATTGCTTGCCTTCGAGTCGCAATCCTAGCCAGAATTTTGTCTTTGGGGGAAGTACTGAAGGAGCTAGTTTTCATCTTTTTAGTATTTTTACTATTTTAGTAATATTGAAAAACTTTGCAAAGAGATTCTTTCGGACCTACTCAGTTTTGTGCAGAATGTGAAATTGGTTAGCATGACGTACCCTTTTAGTTTACATAACAGTGCTTGAGGAAACCAAGCGCCACGGGGGGGGGGGGGGGGGGGGGGGGTTGCCTATGACGGAACAAGAAATATCCCCAAAGATGACGACATTAAGGGAGGGTGAGAACAGTGAAAAGCTTACGGCTCATCAGAAACGCGTCCTTGTTGGAGTCTTCATCGACAACAAGCATGCCGTCATTCTTTCGGGAACATGTCCTGTTGGCTAACATCTGTAAAGATAATATCTTGAGGAGTGACATTGCCGAAAATGATTCTTTTTTGTTTGGAACCGTGCTTAGCTGTAGCCTATACAATTCAGACGCTACATTATTATAAAAAAAGAAATTTTGGACTGGATCTGTCGATCAGTTCGGGGAATAGCTTTCATTTTGAACCCACACATAGGTTGTTGCATAGTTTCCATCAAGAATATCAGCATGCAGGAGAAAACTTAATGAAGCGATAAATAAGATGAACATCAAGCAGCGGCCATACTCATTATGTACATCACTACATTGTAATAATTGTGATTTGGAAGTGGGTGTAATAACCGCGACTTCTCTGTTGAAGGTAGTGGGTACCATGGATACATCTCAGATTCCCGTAATTGGTCAAGTTGCTTATGTCAGCCCGACGACTCACAAGGTTTCCCTATGCCTTTGCCACTGCTCTGCTTGTGTCGCTAATGAGGAGGTAGCTCTAAACTATTTTCAAGAGGTATTTTGGTCAAGAAGAGCCGCTAGTACAAAACGGGTCGGGAAAGATATATATAGGATAAAGATACTTTTTCTTTACGAAATGTGTAAATTTTAATTTGTTAATTGTCCTCGTTGACCAAGCTATTTTATTATTATATAAAGAACCACGTGTGCCTCATGGTTTGTCGGTGTGTGGCTGTAAACATATGTATAAGTATGTACCTGTGTACGTGGTGTTTATGTGTGCCTGTCATGTGCGTAGGTACGGCGAAAGAGGCTACGTTGGAGCTAGAGCATTCCAAATTGGTAGGGTACTAGTGGTAGAGTGGAAACACTAATGTATTATAGTTGGCAGAACTGGAAGCTCAAGGTGTGTTGTGCTTTCTCTTCAAAAGGCCCAATGTTTAGTAGGGAAGTTCAATCGTAGAGGTTCACTTCTGGAATAAGAGCTTAAGTGCGGATTTCAATCTTCTCATTTAATCTTAAACACGGCTCAAGGCCTTCCTCGGAAACTACATCGAAAGTACACTACGTGGAAATTCAGCACGGAAAACAAAAACAACACCCCTTATGGTTTCGTAATGTGGTTGTAGAAGATCACGACATCGAGTTCGCAAACTTCCACAGTGCACCACCAGGAAAAAAGTTGAGAACAGTAGGATACTGCAACATGAGAACAAGATGAACTGATTTCAAACTAGCCATTTCATGTTGTAAATGTTAGCTGTTTAGGGGCTGCCTGATATCTTCGTGCTGTCTCTGCGCATTTATGGATAGTCGCTTAGGGTTGCATTATCTACAAGAAATAACTATTGTTTTAAAGTCTCTTGAAAGTACATACCTGAATTGAAGGGATTAAAGGCGAATAGTAGCATCCTCCTTGAGGTGCGTCCCATTTGTCCTTGTTATACGGTGTCCATTTCTTTTTACAAAAGCAATTTGCTGAAATTTTTTTGTGAGCGAGAGAGAAACTGACAATGTTTGAAAATTCTCTTTGCCACCAATGCAAGCGAAATTTGGGGAATCACAGATTTCTGAAGCAGCTCTCATACCACTGCTACACAGCCCTGTGGTACACCATGAATTGCTCCATAAACCCGGCGGCCACGCACGTTACCGCGTGCGCTAGGGGCTCTAGCTATGAGGGACGGAGCCATATGAGCTGATTTCCGTTATAGACCTTTATCGATTTATGAGTTTCCGCTTAGCCCCGCCCTTGTGGGCGGAGTCTAGTCCTGCCACCCACCATAAGTGTTCTCATCCTGTCACCTTGCTCCTACAAAATTTGAACGCTCTAGTTCCACCGGGACAGGATCTATGAGTCTCCGCTCAAACCCCGCCCCCTGTGGGCGGAGTCTGGTCCTGTCAACCACCATAAGTGTTCCCATCCCGCCACGTATACTCATTCCAGCTTTGAACTTTCTAGGTCCACGGGGACAGGAGATATGATTTTCCAAAATGTTTTCATAAAGCATTGCATTTTTGGAGAACGCGCCGCCCATCGGGGGTGGGCCTCAAACTAGCTTACCAATGCACACCTCTAGCCACCTTTAAATCGAGTTTTGAAGCCGTCTTGTGTCTAAATTCGAAATCATGGTCCTCAGTACAGCTCATTTCGATGCACGCCACGCCCACTGTGGGCAGGGCTCCGCCAGGCTGATGTGTGCTTTACACTTCTCGGGACTTGGCCCACCCATCCCACGCTTGACCCGGTCTCTCCAGGCAGATCTAAAGGAGCTACGGAATTTCGTGACAAACATACAGACATACGACAGACGAAGCGCTTTATAGTAAGTAGGATCTCGACTAGGACAATCAAAAGGTTTTGTAGCTGTACAGTGTTTACCTATGAATTTTGTCTTGGTTCTCCCAGGATTAAATTGATAAAGAAAGGTGGACTGAGGGGCACGACCTTTGATCAGTTCAATCAGCGTCGCGTTATGGCTACGCACAAGCATAATTCATATAAATAGTTCACTAACCTTCACAAAGTAGTCGACGCAACTCCTGAGCGCGCAGATATTTTCCACCCTTGAAATTAGTCAGACTATAATTTGGTGACGCTAGGCTTCTGAGCATCGGCACAGGACTTCCGCGATCTTGTATGTACTCTAGAACTCGGCATTTTCTGTTGCCAGTTAATTTTTCAATCTTTCTGAGGAGCAATACAAAAGGAATATCAGAGTATCATAAAAATGACTCGTAAGAATGAAGCCATGAAAAATAAATGAATGAAAGATGGTGATTACAAGATAATATCAGTTTAGAGGAAATTAAATCCTGACTAAATAGTTCCACAAGAAATTTTCAATTTTTGCCGGAATTTAACTTGTAAGGGGCAGCAATGATTTGGTGGTAGAATTTTTCTTTTGTAGAACTTTTTTTGAATTTAGAAATTGAAGTTTGAGTTGGGTTGCTAAAAATGTATTAGTATTATGAACACCTACCAATAGTTATAATGATTCCGCCTCCGGCACGGAATTGTTGGGCAACATTTGTTGGATCATCGTACAAACCTTGCCTTAATATGCATTCATTGAAGTTTCCAAAATCTTGATTGTCTATTTTTTTTGGCAAAAATATTCATTCTGAGTGTTCCACGGAACAAATCTTGTCTACAAAAGGTAGTTCCGAAGTTTCCTCTAACGCACTACATTTTTGTTCACCGTTTAGATCCACTTTCACGCACTAGGATTCCTCATTCGATTCGAACTTGGGTCCTCAAGCCAGTAAAGCCACCGAACGATAGAAGATGTCCTTAACATTCTTGGGCACATACCATCAGTAGTTCATTTCCCTTCTATACAAGTCAATTCTACAAAAATACTGATATTTTCTACAAAGGTCTTTCTGCGATTCAGCTAAAACCTGTGGGATATGGGCCGAATAAAAGATATATTACCGATGTCCAGAGCGTGATCAGTTCAACAGGGTCTGCTGAGATTCTGGCAGTGAGTTGGGGTGGAATTTAAAAACTCATAACTCCATTTTCAGTAGATTGTGGTTGGGAATCAGGAGCTAATAGCTGGAGCTATGGAAGAGAAGCAAATGGTATGGTTGGAGGGTCGCACCAGCATAGGCGACGATAATGGGATGTACAATCAGTTTACATGATGTTTGGTATATTGCGAGAAATTCAAAACGGTAGGCAGAAGTTTCGAGAATGGAGTACGTTCATGAGAGATGGGGCGTACACCGCGCGCACAGTGATTTCAGTCTGTAGGTGTTGTAGAAAGTAACTCGAATCAAAAACCTGATTGTTCGGTTTTAGTCGATTGAAATAGTCCAATTCCGGGATGCGCCAGAACCAAATAACCTGATACGATATTGAGTACAGCCCCGAAATGTAAAATTTCACAATTACAAGCTAATGATTGAGAACTAGGGTTCTTTGTCAATAACAAAATAGCTTTGTATATTTTTCTTCGTAAAAAACAAAAGAACTTCCAGTTGTACGAACTTATAAGAGCTTGCGATGATGATGATGACTGGACGGGCAGCAGGACGATGAGATGGAGATGCGAATTTCGATGTTGCCATGCGGATCGCCCTAAAATTTTCTTTCAGGTAAGCACTTGGTTGTCGAGAAAATAGTCTATTATTTGCCCATTATTGCTCTATGTACTAGAAGGAAATGAACTGAACTAAACTGAGTTGAACTCATCGGATCAAAAAATCTCACTAATAGTTGTGAGAATTAAACGAGTGTGGCCATTGTATCATAATTTCCCTCTCCCTCTCTCCTCTCTCTATCCATCTCTCTATCTCTTTCTCTCTCTCTCTCTTTCTCTCTCTCAGGAGGTCTGGCAAAAAAAAGTTATTTACATCTAGAACCATAGAAATATAAAAATTTGGAGCGGTGTCGTCTTGTTTTTTTTTTGAGTACCTTTTGTTAAAAAATCAGTTGCTGCTCGGATCCCATGGGTGATACGCTACACTCTTTGTTGCGATTTCTGTACCTCTGTACGTCTTTTGTTTTTTTTTTCATTCATATATTTATTTCATATATTTATAGTCAGAAATAAAAGTAATTAGCTAAAAATGGGCTAAAGCGAGACGTTCGAAATCGTACTCTGAAACCAACTTTTCATCCTCTCACAAATCATAAGCTTACCCAGTGTTTCCCTTCTTTCTGAAAAGCTTGACGCGCTCGGCCTACTCGAAACGTTGCCCTTCCAGACTTATGAATGTTTTCAAATTTCTGTAAGCAGAGCCTTTGAAGATGAGAATCATTCTTTTGTTTTCGGTTTTCATTATCAATAATATCGATCATAGAAATACCAAAGCTCCAGTTCTTCTCTTCCTTTACGTTGACTCGAGTAGTGAAGTTTCCTTAGTCGAAGTTAATCGATGTCTTGAATTATTCTTGTGAATGTTATCGTAGATTGGTGAAATTGATTCAGTGTGATCTTTCTGTATCCCTATATATCGGTCTATCCGTAAAATTTCCGAAAACATGGTCGAAACAGTTTGTAACAACTGAGAGCGGAATAGAGGTATGACGTATCCTCCCACTGGGTTTTCGATATTCCAGGAGCCAGTCGTCACGCATTAAAGGCACGGTTCACGATAAAAATTGTTTCTGAGTTTTTCCCTAAGAATACACAGTGGCCCCATGGGTGGTAGAAAGGGGATGAGACGATGTTTTTCTCCCATTCTTTTTTCCTCTGTTATTCTTTCTGCTGCCGCGATCCCTTTGTTAATTTCCTACCTCAAGAGGCTGAGAAAGGTGAGCTACTTTTGCTGTGTATGGGGTTCTTTTGTTTACTTATGCTTATAAGTGAATGAATTTTTGCTTATCATAGTCTGTTATTCGCACCAGGACCCACACTTACGCAGCGAGACACGTTGTATAGCTCGTCCGAACGCCCCACTCTTCTTCATTTTTCTGGCCTCATTCTCGTCCAGCCCCCTTTTTAACGGTTTTTCGAAGCCTTTTTTCACTTCGGAAACACCGCACAACCACGCATCCTTCGCCTCCATCGCACTATTTTTCATCTTCCATTTTTCGTCATAATCTGAGTTACCCAAAATTATCGTAAACTGTGTCTTTAATCGTGAGAGTTTGTACTAATTATAGTTCAAAGATGCTCCGGCCACTCATCGACGGTGGCACGCACAGTTTCTTGAAAAATTCCAGCCCGGGCTTTTTTCAGTGATTTTTTAGAAGCAGCAACAGTGGTGCATTTTGAAGCGCACGCTTTCCTCTCCAGCTGGACTATATCCAGCGACCTTGTGGGCCGGGAAATTCGTAGAAGGATTGCAAGCCTGGACTCAGTCGCGAACATTTCCTCAGCACCAGTCTTGATCCTTTCCGATTCGTGAGCAAGTGCGTCACAGTTTTCAAGTTGTACCCCTAGAAAAATTTTTGACCCTCAGCTGCATCCTCCCAAAAGAACCCTTTTTAGGAGGTTCGGATTAAGTTCTGTACTTTTCTCGACCAAAATTTGCGTTATCGCTGTGATGGTAGGGATCCTAGCTCAAACTATCATAAAAGAGAGGAAATGGCTATAGGAGGCGATCTGACTCTTCTTAGCGGCTTCAGCACTCGTAATGTGAAATATACGTATACTCTGAAATCTCAACATTTCTTCCACGCTAAACACTCCTTGGTGAGAAAAAAGTCTGTCGAAGCGCGTGCCGCGCGCAAGTAGCGNACAGGAAATGTTCTTTCTCTTCAACTTCTTCTCGTTCAAAATGCGTATAAGGCTTCCGAATCCTATTTGGATATAATCGTATTTACTCAGGGTAGACTGTTCTCATCGGAGTAGAACATACAAACAAATCAGCTGTCATATTTCTCGTATTTCTGCACGTTCTGCATCATACTCCTTCCCAAGGAATTGTATTCGGAAAAGGGTCGTATAAGAGACAAGACGACCATTTTGAGGTTTGCTTTCGACTTGTCTACGCTACGCGATTCAAGAGACTGTCATGTGGGAAATGTTGAAACGAGGAATGATCCTGGGAAAGGATTCACCAAATGCGCGCAAAAACGGAACGGTTAGTGGATGTCTGCGAGGCTCCACCGTTTTTCGAAATCTGACGAGTTGAGTGTACCAAAGTAGATATGTGGGCTAAGGTGTATCATGAACATAAGGGGAGGTGCAGTTCTGGAGAATCTCTCTAAACAAGGAAATTACGCACATCCGAAAAGTTGTTACCATATTTATGGCGCACCCTGTAGAGAAGCGAATCAATATAGTGGGATTTTCAGCTATAGCTTTACCACGAACGATAAAGTCATGTACTGAAAATTCTACTGAATTATGTGATTGGGTGAATGAAATAGCATGGTGGGAAAGGTTGGCATTCTAGAGTATCGTCGCCACAACGCAATTCAAAATCCGGGACTATACCTGCTTAGGCTAGCGAACCTTCCATCCTTCTTTCGGGTCGCTTGATTGGTTCCGAACTCGTGTGGAAAGTGGATTCCGGTCTAGTACTGTATCACTTGGCAGTCTCCGAATAGATCCAGTACGAACCGCCAGCAGCCGCCACCGTCATTTTAATCGCCACTGGATTGCATGACTAGTGCAGCGTGATATACCAAAATGAGTCCGTTTGACCATTCAAGACCAATCCTGGTCCGCTACGTGAGATGATATTGTAATACACATTCGGTCCGAGATCGATCTTCCGTTTGTCGCCAATCCAACTCTCTTTTCACGAGGCGTTCACACACAAAACGTATCACGGAGACACGCTTCAGAACTCGTTCGTATCGAATCTAGCGACTCTCTCAAGAATGCCATGTACTGTGCAAATGGAATAAATATTGACAGCTGAGAGCTTCCTCTTTTTTGCCTACGACATCGTGCTTATCAATCGTTTAGCGAATGGGTGAGGCATATGTATTTTGGTCGAAATCCTAATTCTGATAAGGGAATGGTACGCAGCTGGAACGGGCAGAAGGAATCATTAGAGTTGGTTTTATTACGGTACCCCGTTTGCATTCATTACTATTAGTAACGTAAATATAGTTTATGTAGTGAAGAGAAAAATACATAATTCAGTCAACTGTACTGACTCGCTCTCGAGTCTTATGGACGTGAGTGGCCTGGGACCCGTAAATGTTTTGGAAAGCTCTTCACTACCCCGTTTTCCAATTTCTGATAATTGGAGTATGAGTGGCCAAATTTCCTGTAATTGTATATGCATATATTATATATATAGTCACGGTCAGAAGTTTGGAAACTTTTTATTTTTCGATATAGCGCGAGCACTCAATTACATAACTGTCTCAATTTTGCATAGTAGGTATAAAAGCAAATAATGAACACGATAGGCAACGTGCTTTTTCGAGACCAGATTATTAGACTTAAAAAGCATTTATTGTGAAAAGGGCGCGTCAAAAGTTTGGAAACTTCACAATAACAGGGGAAGTTGATCATGGTAACATAAATTTACAAACAAAATATCACTACTTTGTTGGTTATCCAAGGGAATCGACTACTGCTTTGTATCTTCTTGGCATTGAATCGACTAAGGCTCCAATCTTGGACTGTGGTATCAAAGCCCACTCTCTAGACAATAGATTGAATTTTTCGTCGGCATTCCCAACAGGAACCTGGCTTGTGCGACGCGCAAGGTGCTCTGCAGAATTCAGGTCTGGGCTTCGACTNGGTTGGCGAACGGGAGCATTACATTCTCCAAGATGTCCTTGTACTGCATATTACCCTGGATTCGAGCGGGTGGACCAACGCCGGATAGGCTGAAACATCCCCATAGCATAACGTTTCCTCCACCGCGTTTGACCGTCGGGATTTGCTACTTCGGTCACATCGCTCATTCGCAGGACGTCTTATATACATTATGTCATCACTCCCGAAAGACAAAACTTCGACTCGTCGCTGAACAAAACTTTTTCCCAGTCATCTCTATTCCAGGCGAGGTGCTTACGTGCAAAGTCAAGTCGGGCCTTCCGGTTCTTTGCGTTGACCAATGTTTTTTTTTTGCTAGGACGTCTTCCAAATAGTCCTCCGGCTCTGAGCCGACGTTGGACAGCGCTTAAGCTGATAGAAATCCCAGAAAAGATGTTACTTGTTTACGAATATTCGAAGCCGTCGCGCGCGGATCCCCCATCGAAGTCCTAAGTATTATAGAGTCGACTCTTGGTGCTTTCTTTCTTGGTCTCTCGGAGCGAGACTTCCTCATCACAAATCCTCGGCTTCGATAACGCTCGAAAACCTTGCAAATTGTGCTTTTGACGAGATTATATTGTTGGGAAAGCACACTCATCTTCGTACCGTAACGAATGGCTTCAATAATTGCTTTCTGGACGGATACTGGAACTTCTTCACCTGATCCCATCGGAGAACCGCCCAATATACCATGCTTTGATTGAACATTACGAAAAATCCACCACCTGGACAAGAAGAAGTCAAAACGATGTGGCAGGTAACGAGTTTCCAAGCTTTTAACGCGCTGTTCTTCGAACTTTTCTTATTTTAGGAATCAGACTTTTGATTTTCGTAAAACCACATTGCATGCTATATTTCCCACATTATTTTATATCTAACTTGTAACTTTGGGATAATTACGATCTCAACTAGCCGCGCTATTCGAGAAATTAAAAAGTTTCCAAACTTTTGACCACTACTGTATATACATACATATATATATATCATATGGTAAGGAATTGGTCCACAACCTAATACATACTTTCTGAATCCTACTTTTATGGAAGTATTTCACGTACCCTTCAAGGTTTGTATCCGTTTCGTTTAGTGGTGAAATATCCAAGTCAAGCAAGTCAGCCGTTGATTTGTAAGCATCAAGGTCGGCTACCAGGTCAACACTGCTAGCATAGCGAATGACTCCTAACCGAGTTTGGAATTGTTCTGCCTGACCCACTGTTAGTTTCGTAAAAGCTGACACTACGAAGTCAGTTGCCTGAAATTTTATATTGAAATTCAAAGGAAATGGATTTTCCTTGATCTGTAGTGGACGGTGCTTCGTCTAAAACTGATGCTCTCCTTTCACGCGACTTGTCGTCTTTGTGAATCGTTTTTAGATCACAACAGTGATGAAGTCACTGTGTCAGTACCAATGTGAATCCGAACTTGATTTAAGCTTACCGAGGCGATCCCATAAGAAGTCATGGACATGCCGGCTTCCATGAGGAGGAAGACGTCTAACCATATAGTTTTTGGAACGCATTCGCATCCACTGTTGATGTTCTCCACAGGAATAGGCTTAGGAGGGGAAGCTGTAACAGTTAGCTAAAACACACTCGCTGTTTGAAGCAGTAAAAGGGGACAATCATTTTGTAACTGTTCTTGTTTGAATAATTAGCCTTTTCCATGTGAATTTGCAGTCATTAAATATATGCTCGAATTCAAAATATATTTATGTGTGTGTGGATTTGACAGCGAAGAGCACCGGAGTTGCTTTACTAATATACTCCTTGGAACTCAATCGTCAAACGGCCGAATTCTCCCAGATTTTAAACGAAAACCTGTTGTTGTTCTAGAGGTTGTAGTGGGCAGACTTGAAGTTGTTGTAGAAGAAGGCGGTGTTGATGTTGTGGTTCTTGCAAAGGACAGTGTTGTAGTCGTTGTAGTGGTGGGACCTGAAGTAGTTCTTGAGTTAGAATCTGTTGCTGTATGGTCAGTGCCTATAATGATTCCGGAGTAATTCTATTAGATTGATGCATAATTATTGCGGATTTTTTCCAGCAAATTTTACTTAAAGAAACGATAGAAATATTTAAAGACTTATTCAAATGATTACGCCGGAACTTATCTACGTCATGCACTGCTTCCCATTTGCTAGGCAGTCGGATTCCACAGGCAAGGAGTTACGATTCTTGGAGGCGATATACGCCTTGACATAATCCATCAAGCCATCCATTTCGTCGAAAGTTCAATTGGCAAATTTTTCGATAGGCAACTGACGTGATAATCCATAGGAGTCCTATTGGGGAAGAGGGCGACTGTAGAAGCAGATTTCATTCTTTATTCGGCTTTGCTGACGGTTGCATCGCCGAGAAGCTCATTGAGATCACTTTATATCTGTGCCACTTTCCAAATTTTCTCGAAATAAAAGAGCATAATGTAGCGTATATGAGAATGACTTTCTTGACATATTTCTGTTAAAGCAAGAAGATCATTTCTATCGAGTCCCGAATCCAATATTCAAATTGTATCCAGAGATAAGAAGCCGCGAAAAAATCCGCAATAATCATGCATCTACCTATTACTTCTCGAGACATCATCTGTACATGTATCTTCTTCCAAGGGATAGAGATGGTCCAGTTGTAAGTGGTAGTACACTGGTGTGCGAAACTTAGGGACGAAAGCTACTTTTGATTACTGCACCTCTGCCAGACGACAAAGCTCGATGAAATTTATACCGTACCAGTAGAGGATCATTACGGTATGGCACAGGAAGCAACTAGCAGAAAAGCGAAATCGGACTACCGATTACACATAGTTCCTCACAACTCATCCTAGTACTTCAGAGGAAGCGACGCGGTTTCTAATAGGGTGTGTGATCACCACGGACGGCAGTAAATGCTCTGCAACGCGATCCCACACTTTCCACGAGGTTAGAAATGAGTTATTGTGGTGGGGTATTCCTCTTCTCTATCAGCGCAATTGACAACTGCTGGATGGTCAGTGATGCATTTGAACGTGCTGCAATGCCTCCACCCTGTGCATCCTATACGTGCTCGATGGGATTCAGGTCGGGGGAACGGGCAGGCCGTTCCATTCGCTGGATAACCTCTTGTGTCAAGAGCTCTCCCACCTGAGTTGTTCGATGCGGTCGCACATTGTTATCCATAAAAATGGATTCAGGGCTCACTGCAGCCCTGAAAAGATACACAATGGAGAGGGGTTTCTTTTCACAGTAACGGCGATTGTTAAGAGTCAAACGCTCAAAAATCTGGAGGTCAGTACGGTTACGAAGCATGATGCCTCCCCCCACAATAACGCCTCGACCATCAGAACGATCAAGTTCCACAACGTTTCTGAGAGACGTGCATGTCCCCACCTCTGGCCATGAGGGTGCGTCCAAAATCACTACTCAGACTGAATCTGCTCCCATCCGAAGAAAGCAGACGGCCCATTTCTCATCGGTCCGTTCGCTATGCTCCTTGCACCACCCTAAACGGCCTCGCCGATTCGTGAGGGTCAAAGGAACACTATGTAGTGGTCGTCGGGCGAAGAGACCGCAACCGTGCAGTCGTCGTGCCACTGTGGTGCGTGGGATGGCTTGCTTTGAAATCCTGTTAAAAGACATTGCAATCAAAGAAGCTGACTAATGTGAATCTCTTCTTGCCTGCTACACAATGTAGCGGTCATTCCTTAATGTAGTTGTTCTTGGATGACCAGCGGTTCTCCTTCATGCAGCAGTATCAGAGGTTCGGAATGCTCTCCGTGCACGTGTAACAACGCTGTGAGCGATATCAGGTTCCTGAGCTGCACTCGTCATGGTCCGACCTNAAGACATTGCAATCAAAGAAGCTGACTAATGTGAATCTCTTCTTGCCTGCTACACAATGTAGCGGTCATTCCTTAATGTAGTTGTTCTTGGATGACCACCGGTTCTCCTTCATGCAGCAGTATCAGAGGTTTGGAATGCTCTCCGTGCACATGTAACAACGCTGTGAGCGATATCAGGTTCCTGAGCTGCACTCGTCATGGTCCGACCTTTTTCGAGCTTCTCGATGATCCTTCCTCGTGCCAGGTCATCCAGACGATGTCTGCGGGATATGATGTATAGAAGGATAACACCACAGTACTTGGCAGCTACTGGCTGATTTAAAAAAAATTCTTTCGTACCTATCAACTGCCTCAATTTGTGCGGGTAGCCATATTTCTCGCTTTATTTGGACTATTCCTCCAAGAAAAGATGTCCAACTTCCTGTGCATAACCGTCGTAGGTCTGGCAATATAGTCCCATGCCTTCATTTATTTCCACCCAGTCCTCAATGTTTTATGTTACATTATTCATCTCGTCCCTAAGTTTTGCACACCAGTGTACTATCACCACCACGGTCACGGCTTCGAAACTCGGATCGATTTTCGCTTGGACCGAGCCTTTCATCTCTCCGGGGTTGCTCATTCGGTACGAGACTCGTCTGGAAGGTTAGAAGTACTGGCTTGTGCGTTGCGCACTATCTGACCAACAATTTCCATCGCACGAGTGTTTGCGTGTTTTAATCCTGCAGGATCTGGTGAGGGAAATGAGAGTTGGATGCTATATGACAACGAAAAGATTTTCCTTGTTCGTCTCTTATTAAAGGGTGGAAGCACAACGAGAATATTTTCTTCGTTCCTCTTTTGAAAGAAGTAAATCCGCTCGTCAGTTCAGTTCGGAACAGTACTTTCGAAGCTGCTTCTTTGGACTCGAAAGGAATGCCATACTTCAAGTTGTTTTCTAGAAGCCAGACATTGACGGCTAATACTTACAACTGCCAGCTCCTGATACTTTCTTATGCAATCGGAGAGAACCGGCTGAGAGGTGTTCCTTACCATCTTCTCCATGACAGCCTTCGGTCTTACGTCGCAGAGATCACCCGGTCCACTATGCAGGCTCTCTTCTGCTCCTTGTTACCTGCTCTTTCTATTCGCCTGACCTTGTTCTTTCTAGCTAACATCGTTCATAGCACCTCAAACAGTATGTCGTGGTGTAGGGTCCATTTTGATGTACGGTTTTATCTCATGCCCATCTTGAAATTGTATTTCTCAATCCTCCGTTCGCTGGTGTTAATGTTTCAGTCGAAAAAGGTCTCTTCGAATCCAGCCAGAGCCTCAGAAACTTGGGTATATAAACTAATGACGAGGTCTTTTTGCCTTGAAGTTTTGTTACCGGCTGTCAATTCTCTCCAACATGGGAAAGAGTTACTAGTTTGGCAAACATTTGCAGCAGCCATTCCTTTGGGACAATTCTGTGGTGTGGCAGTACTTAGTAGTGAGCACTCTGAGAACATTAGGTTCTTTTTCTTATTATTCATCAGGAGTTTCAATGCTATACGGAGAATTGCGTATGTCGTTGCAAACTCTGACCTAAGAGTGCAACTCTCGCAAAAATTGGTTCACGAGATATCTCCCCGATACATGTAGCATCCATTCCTGCCATATGTGGCACTGTGAGATCGGAAAACGGTGTGGATAGAGGTCCAATGATTGAGTTGGCCGTACGCAACACCCAAAGGCAGACGGATTTGCCGGGAATCCGAGGGCTACAATATTCACAAAGAACATCATGCTGGAAATCAAAACTAGTCAGGCTACAGTGGAAAGCAGTTTCGAACATTTTCGGCTCAATATAGTCAGCTCTTTATAAAGTGTGCAACAACTGAACTCTCGTCTGGACATCCCTTCTAGACCTTTTCCGTCATGATAATCTTGCACAACCCCTGCCTCCAGTAAATTCGAGAAGCCCTATGTTCAACTAGGTACGCGGGCTTCTTTGACATCGGTGCACTTTTATTCACCAATACTTCCACTTCTCAACTTGAGAGGAGTACCTCAAAATTATCGTGCGTTGAATCTTTGAAATCTTTGTGTATTCCAGTGGCTAGGATTTTTATCGTTGTCACCAGACTTCACTCTTCCCGCCATCCTCTATGCTTACCTTAAGAACAGCCCCTGCACCCTTTTACAACTAAGCGGTGGGTATACCTGTTGCATTCCTGCGATAACGAATCTAATACTTCATGCGCTTGTCATACTTATCATTTTTGAGTCGATTTTAAACATGCAAAGTCATTGGATTCCACTCACCACAAACAAAACGACTAACGTAATCAGCAATCTGCTTAGTGTCGTCCATTGAATTCATCCATATGTCCGTGTTCTGAAGGCAAATTTTTTTCACATGTGGCTCATCGTTTATCCCTGGAGGCTTACCTCGGGCCAGCTGTTGAACGAAGAATCGCCCATGTTGATGACCAAGGCAGAGAAATTGTTCGCCACTCCCTTGGTGATGTAGTCTTGTAGCAGGTCGCTCGCAGCATCCACATCTTTTTGTTCGCTATATTTTGTAATAATTGAAGTGAAGTGGGAAGTTATGCAGTTACGGTGTGCGCATAACTCTTAAGTTTGACTTTCGCGCTCATATGTTTAAATTATGAATTTCTGCCAAAGATCATCGAACAACAGAATTACGTTATCTTGGATGTTAGAAACTGTACAGGCTAAAGTGATCTTTCGAACGGGTATTTGGTTAGTACCATCACAAAAACCAACTCTTCCAACAAGATTTCGTGCAATTTTTTTGCGACCTCGGCTAGCACTGCACTAGAAACGGCTCGTAATATTAACACTGTTTGAGGTGTCAAAGCAACATCGCAACACAGTATGTGTCGATCTCGAAGGGTTACGCTTTGCTGTTATGGGGCTCAATGGTACGCCCTATATGACTGACAGTCGCCTGCCGAGAGCAGAAAAAGATCCGCTTTATTCACCTCAAGAGGATGCCCAGGAGGTAGACAACTCTCGACAGACGTCTGACAATTGAAGAAGAATGAACGTGTGATAAATTCGCTTAAAGGCACGGTTCACGATAAAAAGGTTACTCAGTTTTTCCCTTTAGGAATACTCAGCACCCCACATGGGTGATAGAAGGGACCTTCTCGCTCCCACAATCTCGGCGATGAGGGCATAGTGGAAGCCCCGTTGTTGCCGTAGTTCGCGTTTCCGCCCCTCGATCGGTGTCACGTTAGACGCGTGCCGAGACAATATAGATTGCTATTATTAGTTCTAGGACACACGCACAATCAGCTAATCGCCGAGTGATGGGGCGATGTTTTTCTCCCATTCTTTTTTCCTCTGTTTTTCTTTTTGCTGCCGCAATCCCTTAGTTAATTTCCTACTCCTAGAGGCTGTAAAAGGTGAGCTACTTTTGCTGTTACTAGGGTTTTTTTTGTTTATTAATGCTTATAAGTGAATGAATTTTGGCTAACCATTGTCTGTTATT